ACACCTCGAGCAATGGGAAGGTTACTATCTCCCACTCATTCATTTGACAGCTTTCACTACAGATTATTCCTTAAACAGAGTCATGTGCTTCCTCCATGGCTTCCAACCACTGGCTTCAGTTCTGCTCCCTACAACCACAAGGTACAAACCATCTTCCTTCACAAATACTTCATGGCGACCTCCCCTGCCCCTTGTCCCGACCCCAAGTTCTCTCACTGCCAAACCAAACACTCCCTCAATCATTCTTCCTCTATGTATGTGGCCTCTAGTCCTTTTACTGCTCTGTTTGCTACCTGTGAACATATTTCAGAATCTGTATTCTAGAACTTACCTGGTTTCTATGACCGCTTCCACCCGAATACAGAATAAAATAGGACACTCATCTCCCCTAATTCTAAAAACTTAAAAAAAAAAAAAATACGCCTGAAATTGACTTTTTTTTTTTAAAGATTTATCCATTTATTGTATTTATTTATACAAGCACTGGGTACAGTCAGAAGCGCGGGAGGGTGAGAGAATTCAGCAGAGCCAGAGCAGGGAGCAGAGTAGGCAGAAGGACCAAAGTACACTGCTGAGGGGAGCAGCGGGCAGCAGGAGAGGTCTGCACACCATGTGGGACCCTCCTCCAGTGGCCAGGGAGCAGCCGAGGATCGAACAGGCGCTGCAAAGGCTGCGGGCAGCTTCGCAACCCAGCGCTCAACCGCTGCGCCACTGGGGAGGCCCCTGAAATTGACTTTTGATGTCACATCTCACCACTAACCCACACTCAAGGACTGACCAGTGCCCTGAAGTACTACTCAAAGTCACTTAGCCTTAACATCGTCCCGTGCTTGCTTATGTGATTGGTTTTATGGACCAAAATAGTTAATCTTATAACCAGTCCATCCTCCTAGTCTGACATAAGCATGACTGAGTTCCAATTTGTACATGCACATACCCTCTGTATCTTAGATCACTCTTCTTCCCCTCCCATTCAGAGAAAAAGCCTGATCAGGTTACCTATCTTCAGGCTCACACAGATTAACCCACACTCTCCTTCCAATCTCTCCATCTCAAGTCAAAAAGAATCACTTCAAACACGTTTTCACCTGGAATTCAGCTCTTCTTCAGAACCAATCAACAAAAGGAAATATTATTTGGTTGCCAAGGCCTTCAGTGTTTTCCCTAAAACTCCAGTAGCCTGAAAAAATGCCCATTCAAAAGTTATCTTTCACCTCCAGTACTATCAGCAGCAACTGCATGAAGGACATGGATGAGAGAGAAATTGAACCATAAGGGATGGGTAGATTTAAGTAACAGAGGTTTGGTGAAACGGTGGATGAGTAATTCCAGGTAAGGAGTCAATAAGCAAATACATAAAGAATGGGGGGAAAAAAACATACATATGAAAGGCACTGTTGCTTAGTTACTAAAAATTGACATTATGTGAAGAAAAGTAAAAGAAGCTTAGAAAAGTAAACTAGTATTTCACTCAAAAGGTCTGAAATGCCATGCTTAGAAGTCTGGACTTTGTCAGTTATTTGCTATCAAAACTTACTGCATAAAGTAATGACTGAACCAGAAGCACAGTTTAAAAAGATTAATCTGAGACCTCTCAAGAGCATAAATACTAATATAGAAAAAATTTACTGGTGTGTTTTAGATATAGAAGTGAAAATAGATTATCTATATTTCACTGAATCTAAGGCTATTTTAAGATGCCCCATTACCTTATGACAACTAAGAAATAAAGCGCTGCCAAATAAAATATGGCACATTGTCATCCAGATTTTCATAAATGTTAAAATGTAAAACAAAAAAAAAATTGTGCCTTTTACAGTCAATAAAATATAGCCAATAGTTTTGGGTGTTAACACATGTGGTTCAAGATCAGGAAACTATTTTCAGATTACAGTCTTCAGCAACTATTCAGTATATCAAGTGCATGAAATATCCTCAGTCCAGACCGGTTACAGAATCCTGTGAACATAGGTAGAAATGACAGCACTACATTCGTCCCCCGCCCCCTCCCAAAAAAAAAAAAAAAAAAAACCTGCTTTACATAGAGAACAGTGATTTTTCTATCCAGGATTTTATATTAGAATCATCAGAGAAGCTCGACGAAAACAAAACACAGATTTGGACCCCACACCTGATCTACCAAATTAGAGTACGTTCTGAAAAACTGCCCTAACCTATTCTGAGGTGCCACTGATTAAGGATCACTGAGAAGACCATCACACCTAAAACGTGAAAGCATAGAAACCTTTTCGAAGTGCAATCCCAACACAAAAGCTGGCAGATATGACTACACTAAAACATACGACTTCTGAGAAAAATCACCAAAAAGAATAATGCAATCTACAAATACGCATGATGTAAGTTAATGTCTGTAACATACAAAGATCTCCTGTCAATTATAAGAGACACACACCAAAAAGAAAACAAAAAAAAAAACACAAAAACCCAAGAAAAACAAGAACAACAAGCAAAGCAACAGGCAGTTCAGAAATGGTCAGTAAAAACAAGAAATATGTTCAGTTTCACTAAGGTGTGAAGTATAAAAATGAGCTATTTTTCACTTATCAAATAGGCAAAAATGTTAATGATGACTAGTCTGTGTTGGTAAGGCAAACAAACATATGAGCATTGTTATACTAACAAGAATCTAAAAATTCGTAAGTTAAGTGAATTGTTGTAGAATCATGTGTGTGCACATAGAAAAATGTGTACCATACATTATACCAACTAGAAAAAAACTTCGATTTTTTAGAACAACTATTGTATAATTCATTTTTGTAAAAATCTCACAACCCAACTGGTTATGTTTACATCTGTTCAGAAGAAGGCCCCAAGGCCCCCTCCTCGGGTTCCATTAATTTGTGAGCAGGGCTCACAGGAGGCGGTGTACTCGCCGAAGACGGGTGTATTACAACGGCTAAAAGGGTAAAAACCAACAGATGAAGAGGTACCTTGGGCGAGGCCCGTGGAGGCCGGGGCGCGGCACCGCAGCACGCGGGGATGCTCTGGCTCACCAGCGGGAGCTTCTCCGACCCAGCCCTCGGGTCCTCGCAGCGGCTTCATTACCAAGGCGTGACGTTCCTTCGGCCACTGGTGTGCGAGCCCAGTCGCCGCTCCCTTCCCTGCCGGCGAGTGGGGCGTGGGGGTGAGTCTCACCCGCCAACCGTGGCGCTGGCCCGCCTGGCGACCGGCTCGCGTCCAACGAACGCGCTTTCCAGGAGTCGCGCGATGAGCACAAACTCAGGTGCGGTCGGGAATACCAAGACACCTTCATCACGCTCGTCACTCAGGGACCTGAAAGGACTTCAGGGACTCTGTGCCAGAAGCGCGGATGCAGACTAGCGGGTAAATGGAGTTAAGAATCAGGCTGTTCTGCCCCGCCGCCCTGGACGCCCGGGCTGAGGAGCGTTGAGCGCGGCCACGCGCGCCTCTGACTGGGCACACCTGGGCGGGCGAGCGCTGGGAGTGCGCATGCGTCAATGCTCACACCCACGCGCGCCTCTGACTGGGCACACCTGGGCGGGCGAGCGCTGGGAGTGCGCATGCGTCAATGCTCACACCCACGCGCGCCTCTGACTGGGCACACCTGGGCGGGCGAGCGCTGGGAGTGCGCATGCGTCAATGCTCACACCCACGCGCGCCTCTGACTGGGCACACCTGGGCGGGCGAGCGCTGGGAGTGCGCATGCGTCAATGCTCACACCTGCGCCTGGAGGCGAAGGCTAGAAGGGCAGCGCCCCTGAGACCGGACTGCAACTTCCAGAGGCCCACTCTGACGCGAGACCACGAGACGAAGAACGCCAGGGAAAGGCCAGAGAAAGCGCAAAGATTCACCGGGGCTGGGAAGCTTACCAGCCTCCTGCGCCGCGCCCGCCTCCCTGCCTGGCGTGCCCGTGTACCTGCTCCAGCAGTGAAGGCCTGTCAAATCTATCGAGGCCTCGGGGACTCGCTTTACCCGTCCGACCGAATCGACAGTGAACCTGCCCTGTGTTTGATGGCACAAGAGAGACCGAATATACATATTTCCTAGTATACACCATAGTATCACATTATATGATGCCACTTACAGAAAAGGCAATCTAGAGAGAAAGCAGATCAGTGGTTGCCTGGGGCTGGAGGCAAAAGCAGGACCGACATAGTGGGGTGTGGGTGGAATGTGGTAGTGGCACAGGTCTGTAATTATACTTTAAATGCCACTGACACTTCCAGTCGGGGGTTGTCTGGTACAGAAATTATACCTCCATGAGCTGTTTTTGAAAAGGGGGAGACCTCAAGTAGTCCAGTGGCCCCACCTGACTGCCTACAGGTGTGAGCACCCCCCCAGGCACTGCTCATATTCAGTCCCAGTGCTCTGACCTAACCCTCCTCCTGGGCACTTTTCTCCTTCCCACCTGACTCCCAGCACTTTGTGCTCAGGGCTTATCCCAGAGCCCTTTACTCCTAACCTCTAATTCTGTAACAAATTCCTTGAAGGAACTGTGCATTATCCATCTACCTATTTATTACACCGTACAGGTAGCAGGTACACAATTAGTATCTGTAATACTGAGTTTACTAAATCTACAGGATCAGGCAGTCTCAAGAAAACTCTCTTCTATGTTAGCATGAAGAGTGGCAAAATTCTAAACTTAAAACTAATCCACCTCCCACCCCCTCCACCAAAAGCCATTATCTAAATCCCTTCCAATTTTTCAGAAAACATTCTACTTTATTTGTTCCAGATTTTTCCAACTTAAGCAAATATAGAAATCACAAACCATACTTTAAGGCTGAGCAGGAGCAAACCTGGGACAAGTATGAAATCTGTAGTCGAAAAGACAGCAGAATTTAATGAAACACAAGAAAATACGGCTCCATAAGCCTCAAGTAAACCCAAACGCCAATCATCATGAAATTCCCAAAATAGGAAGAATATCACCTCTATAGCTTTGCTGGTGAGATCCTGATTAACATGAGGATCCTCGACTGTGATAAAAGCTCTCTCTTTTATCTTACGTGTAGGTACTACTGCTCACTCTTGCCTGAAACAGAACACAGACCTTGAAGCTTAAGAATGTTCCAGCAACACCACAACTTCTTGAATGCTGGGCTTTTAGCTTGTTGTTTTCATTCTTAAATAAGTGACTTCTGGAAATCATTTGGTCTTATTTTCAAAGAAGGTAAGATTTCTCTTTGAAATCATAATTTGCATCAGATGGAATTTAACTCTCCCAAAAAGGATTCACAGAGATAGGGTACAGAAAGGCCAAACACTGATAAGGATTAAAAAGCTGACTCAAGACTTTAGACAAACAGCTTTAAAAGAGGGAAGCAGACGCGATGGGGGATTAAACGTCATCTACTGGCAATCTTCGGTGAAGAAATCACTGAGATTTTAACGAGTTCAATTTTGAGTGAAACAGCAAGTATCAGTTATGAAAACAGTCTAAAGGGATGACGCCCTGGGACGGAGGCCACTGCAGCTGGGAAATGGGGCTGCCACCTGTCACTTCCCCAGACCTGGAGATCATTGAATGTGTATTAAACAGTAGTGATTTTATTAAGTATAAACTCTCTGCTCTTTAAACATCTGTGATTATATTAAATAAATAGAAACCAATTGAAGCATAAAGGGTTCACTCTGAGAGGGAAAAAAATGTTTGAGGGCATTTCTGACTCTCCATGCTTTAATGGCTGGCTCTCTGCGCAAGCCCAGGTAGGGAAGAAGAGATTTATTGAGAGCTAGGTGTCCGGTGCTTTATGGATATCTCATTTAATCCTCACTAGACTCCCATGAGGTGTTTTGAAGATGAGGAAACTGAAACAGAAAGGTGCAGTAAATCTTAACAAAATAACAAGACTCAGAGCTAGCCAAGAGCAGCGCCAAAGCTCGTTTTTTTCTACCATCAATATATGACACCACCCCTTGGACTTGGTAGTGTGTCCACTTAACTAGCTCTAACTGCTAGTTAATTAGTTACAGGAAAGCTGACCCCACAATGACACTCAATTTCTCCATTAAAGAACCTCTAGTTAAATCCAACTAACTGGATATTTCTTTAACTTTTTAAAAAATATTTATTTATTCATACAAGAGCAGGGGTACAGGCCAGAGGTGTGGGGGTGGGGAATGAGAGGACTCACCAGAGAAAGTGGGGACCAGAACAGATGCATCTGCTGAAATACACTGCTGAGGGGAGCAGCAGGCGAGACAAGAGAGTTCTGCTGTGCCATGTGTGTCAGCTCCCTGGCCGGGGATCAAACTCATGCTGCAGTGGCTGATGATAGCTTCACAGTGCTGAGACTTAACCCCTTGCACCACCAGGGAGGCCCCCTTTCTTTAACTTTTAATATTACTTTATTTCATACAAATAAAATATCATGTCATTGCAGTTGGCAGACAAAAAGCTTCTTGAAGGCAGGCTCGAAAAACAATTGTAGAATGTTTGAACTTTCACCTGAAAGTTTGAACTTTCACCTGAAAGTTCATTACTTCCCTAGAGGATTGATATGCAAACATTTGCCTCTTCATGTATCCTAAAGTAACAGTAAAACTTACAAACACTGGTCCATTTGCTTAATTTTTCTGTCTCTGAGCACTTATCATTTATATTTGTGCATTATTTCTGTGCAAGCTTTAACACCACTACCAGGCTTAAAGACACTTTGATGAGCCCCACGGTATATAGCTGAGCAAGGCGCCACCTAAATGTTTAAATGAAGAAACGAATTTCTCTTTTTTCCACCTACATTTCTGTCATATAGATGCTCAGAATCAATGTGGTTAAAAAGAAAGAAAAAATTCCTACAATAATAATGAGATTCTCCGGGAACAATCAGCCTTGAATCAAAGTTGATTCCTGTCATCAGGTTCTAATTAAGAACGGCAGATAAAGCAGATGGAGAACAGCTTTAATCTTCATGCTAAGTTGATCCTACTCTGGTGAAAACACAGAAAAATTGTTTGGACAAGCCAACTGAACAAACATGAGATTGGATGTCTAGAGGGAAGTCATTCTTAAAGAGTCTTCTTTCCACTAGATGGCTATCTGAACTTTAACCAAGAGAACGAGTCAAAGGGAAGAGATGACTAAATGTTACTGTGCATTCCAGCCAGGCCAGGGAAAGGGGGTGGGGTGGGGTGGTAATGTGTGTGTGTGGTGGGGGGCTGGGGAGTGGGCATCAAAGACAGAGAGGATTCCCCCCATTTGAAAAAGGTTTCCCCTTTTGGAACTACTTACTTACTCCTCCTCCCATTTCACTTGCTCATATCATTTACAAGCAATGTAGAAGTATTTTCATAGAGCTGATGAAACTGTGCCAAAGTTATCATCAAAGAAGTTTAGAGTTCACTTAAAACTGATTTGCGATTTGATTTCAGATGCAGGCTCTCAGGACATCATTATGCCCATCTAAACGTGGAAATTTACCTACATGAAATATTTCATTTTTTACGACTGGCTCCAAGATAAAGGTAAACATTATTAAAGGTCACCAAATAATTTTTCCATTAAATGTAATGCATTATGATCTATATATTAAAACCCTGGCCATCTGAAGTGAAACACTTTAGGTCCGTTCATTCAAAATTCTTATTTTTATACTACTGTTTGTTTACTTCTTTCTGGTTATAGAATAAAAGCTCATTGAAGAAATTTTGGAAAATTTTTAAAACACTTTATTTCTTTCTAAAAATTTTAGTTTTTTCTCTGTAAACATTTTGATTATTACAAAATTTGGTATAAAATTGTAATAATATACATCATGTTTTAAGAATTTTCCCATATTGGGCCTCCCCAGTGGCGCAGCGGTTGAGCGCTGGGTTGCGAAGCTGCCCGCGGCCTCTGCGGCGCCAGTTCGATCCCCGGCTGCTCCCCGGCCACCAGAGGAGGGTCCCACATGGCGCGCAGACCTCTCCTGCCGCCCGCTGCTCCCCTCAGCAGTGTGCTTCGGTCCTTCTGCCTGCTCTGCTCCCCGCTCTGGCTCTGGTGAATTCTCTCACCCTCCCGCGCTTCTGACTGTACCCAGTGCTTGTATAAACAAACAAATAAATAAAGCATGCCTCTTTAAAAAAAAAAAAAAAAAAAGAATTTTCCCATATTATATTAATCATGCTTTGGATAATGCTTATTGAACATTTGAATTATTTCCGATATTTTTCTGGTATGAATAATAAATATTTTGATAACTGTCTTTGTATATAAGTTAGAACATGTCTAAGTTAGAACATGTCCTCAGGAGAAATGACTAGAATAATAATCATAAGAATCCCACTAAAAATGTTTATCGGAAAGGATGTGTCAATTCCCACCAGCAGTGAGTGCCTATCCCCTCAAACCCGGATAAACACTGAATTTTACCACTTAATTTCACAACTAAAATGCTAAACTAGTCACACTGCATTACATCCACGAGCTAAAAGCAATGTAAACATCTCCATTTAACAGGAAGAAAAACATTTCATTAATGTTTTCTTGGTAAAAATGTAAAATATCCATTTACCAGATGTGCTCAAAGTGAATTACAGGGGAGATAGGTTCAGTATTACCAAAAATATAGTTAATCCTGAAATATAATTACATTCTCTTTCTTTTCATATTCTCAGCTGCTTCTCATAAATGAGAGGGGTTTCCTGGCTCATCATAAACATTTAAATATCAGTGAAAACATCAAGATCAAATTATTCAAGGGTTACATTATTTGTTTTAGGGTTACATTATTTGATGGAAAAAGAACAGGGAGACTAAGAAGGGTCTGGTACATCTGGTGGGATGCTTCTGTGTAGCCATTTAAAATTATGTTGAGTTTAAGACACACTTAATATGGAGGGGGGAGACATATAACACTACAATCTTAATTATGTTAAAATAAGTAAAAGATAAATATGCACTGGAAGAAAATGATGTCAACTTTTTAACAGCAGTTTTATCTTTTTGTGGTAGAAGAAAAACAAGTGGTGTTGCTTTCAATAGTTAAATATTGGTTGTTTTATTGCAATGACATTATGCATTAATGCAACAACAACCAAAAGAGAGTTCACAATACAGGAGTTACTGTTCCTCCAATAACCTTTCAGTCCCGATCTGCACAATGTGCCCCTGTACACAATAGTAGGCACATTAAAACTGGAAAGTGGTGATGAAACTCTCAATATACAAAAGTTTTAAATAAAACACAGGGTTGTTTTTTGTGTTTTTGCTTTAACTCTTTTACTGAGCACTTATGTGTCAGGCACTGAGCTGAGCTCTTCACATGGCTAGTTCATTTAAACTCTCACAACCCTAGAAGACTTAACTACTCTCATTTTAAAGATGAAAACCTGGGCTTACAGATAAGCTACATTAACTTGTCCAATGTCACAGCTATGAAGCAGAGGAACCAGGATTCAAGTCAGCCAATGCTCAAAGTGTTACTGAGATGAGACAATGACATCATTTCATTAATAACCAGGGTGAGAGTGTAAGATACATGAACTATACCAGATATAGATACCAGGTACAAACTGTTGTGTCCTGATTTATCAGCACCACCAGATACTCTTCTACAAAAAGCTACAGAATACCTCCTGAACAGAAGTAGCATACCTGGTTCACTTTCATATGTATGTATTTTGGTAAATGTGGCATTTTATTATCACACAATAAAATGAACTCACTCAAAACTTCCAAAACCAGGATAACCATGTCTGTCTTTGAAAGTACACATAGAATTCTGGCTATCAGCTAAGAAAATGGTTTTAAAAGCAACAACCTGAAATAGGTATCATAAACCAAAGCACTAAGTCCAAGCTGTACAAACCGAACAAATTCCTAGAATCCAGAACAGACCATTCAGACCCAACAGTCTGTACAGGAGGAAGAATAGTCTGAAAGTGAGGCCATGCCAACAACCATCCGAATTCACTCTGTTCATTTTAGTTCCTTTACTTTCCATACAATATTGCCCTTTGAAATCAACTGTACAAAAGAATTCCAAATAATTCAACATAAGGAGAAAAAATGAAAAGCAGACTTCTAAAATATCACGCCGTTCAATACCTCCAACTTTCTCCCCCAGAGCAACTGCTATTTAATATTGTTTTCTAAATAGCAAGTTAGGGATTTATTACAGAAAAGCAAAAAAAGCAGTGCCAAAGTGAGCAGCCTATTAATCTAATACAGTTCAAAATGCCAGGTTCATTACTGGATGGCACCTAGCCTGCCTCAAATTTAAACAGAGAAATTAGTTAATATCTTTAAAAAAAAAAAAAAAAAAAGGTCATTTTCTTCAGTTAGTGCTTACTCCCAAGGATATCAAAAAAGCCAGCTGTCTTTAGTGAGCAGAAAAGTCAAACAACCCTAAGAATGAGTTTATTGGTCTTAACAGAATGCCTAATAATTGTTTATGAAGATATAATTACCTAATGCATGAAGTTCAAATTGCTTGTCTTAGCACTCAAAAATTTTATTTCCGGACAGGTACCTTTCCAGATCCTTGCCCCACCCCCAGTAAGTCTCCTCTCCATTCCTTGGCCACACTTACCCCTCCAGCAGAACTGGCCTGTCCTACCCTTATCTCTACCAGCAGAAACTTGATTCATCTTTCAAAGTCCTCCTCACAAGCTGAATTCTCCTTGAAGTGCCCCTCCCCTGAGTGGTTCCTAACAAGTAGTTCTTTTATCAATCTCAAAGCACCAGCTTATCCAATAACTATTGGCAATGTCCTTTTCTGCTGTACAATGCTGCAAATTCCTGGACCAACAGGAATTTGGTCCTCATCCTTGCACTGTCCAGGAGAGCAGCTTTGTGCCTTGCATCCAGATGACTCAATAAACACTTTTTAATAGATGTCATAGGAGACATTAAAGGTTGGTTGATGTGCGATCCCTTGCTATCTTATAAATATTTATTTATTTATTTTTAAAAGATTTATTTGTTTGTTTATTTATTTATTTATTTATACAAGCACTGGGTACAGTCAGAAGCGCAGGAGGGTGAGAGAATTCACCAGAGCCAGAGCGGGGAGCAGAGCAGGCAGAAGGACCGAAGCACACTGCTGAGGGGCGCAGCGGGCGGCAGGAGAGGTCTGCGCGCCATGCAGGACCCTCCTCCGGTGGCCGGGGAGCAGCCGGGGATCGAACCGGCGCTGCAGAGGCCGCGGGCAGCTTCGCAACCCAGCGCTCAACCACTGCGCCACCGGGGAGGCCCTATCTTATAAATATTTAATTGATTTATGAACTTATGAAAACCAAATTGGGAACAACCGAAATTTTACATACAGAATAACACAGTGGTTAAGCGTCTGTGAGCAGTTGAGATTCAACTCCCACCTGCCACTTACTGGTGAACTTGAGCAGTGACTTGGCCCTTCTGAGCTTGTTTTCTCACTTGTAAATTGGGAATAATACTATCTACTTCACTGGGATATTGTCAAGTAAAATTAGCTAACACAGTACCTGGTATATAGTAAATATTCAATAAATGGAGTTATGGTTCCTGTTACATGAGGACTCTTCCATTTCGGACACAAGTTTTAAGTAACAGTGTAAATAAAACCTGAAACCAGCATTTTTTCATTTTGTACATTTTTATTTCCCATTAAGTCTTCTCCGAGAAATGTCATCAGTGTCCATAAACTCCCATAAAATCACTGGTGGGATACCGACTTTATTATTTTTTTGAGATAACACTGATTTACAACACTGCATATGATCCTATGACTCAGAGGTACAGCTTCACACCTCTTCAGACAAATGTTACCACATCACACCCACCACCAAGGAGCCCGTATCCTGTTCCATAATCCATAAGGTTCCCTCGCCTCCCCTCCCCACTATTTTTTGTTGTTGTTTTACATCCTCGTTAATATTTTGACAGGAGAGGATTTCTCCCCTCAGGGTGGTAAAGACCCATAGTCCTCCTCCATCGTCCAGAATGTTCTCTCCCCTGCCCGCTTCCTTTTCTTATCCTTCCCCATACTGACATTTTAAAACTCAGTAAATTGAACTCAAGAGAACAGTTATGTCAGGACATAACAAAATCATATTTTCTTCTCCTTTGCACTCATCTGTAGGAATTCCCAGTTTTCCTATAATAAACCAACCGATGTGACATCAACCACATTTGGAGCCAATACTGACCTTATATATATATAGCACACTCTATATATGTCTAGCATAGAACAGGTCTTTCGTTCAAGAATTAAGGTAGAATGACTTTTTAGTTACAGCTGCACTGATACACAGAGACCCCCCCGCATGGCCATGTCCCTAAGGCCTTCTACCTGAGGGCCAGGAATACTATGCTGCCCTAACATTGAGGTTCCTCAGAAGACAAGCCCCAGAGCTCCCCAGGGCTGAGCTAATAAACCCAAATAGGTTTATTTGAAAAGGTCCATCTAACACTTAAAAAAAAAAGAGTATGAAAGTTAATATCTCCAAAGTCTAGACGAATACCCATAAAACACAGCAAAATAGAGGCAGATTCAGTTTGGCAAGTTCTCACTAAAAGCAAGTGGCATGGCAAAGTCCACAGATTGACATGAGCTGACAAGAAATAATTTCCCACTGTTCCCAG